TGGCAGCCTGGTAAAGACTGTGAAGTTATTTATAAACAATTCAAAAGCTACAAGTACAGAGAAGTGCTGCGTGGTCAGATAAAGTAAGTAGATATTTTAGTTTTTTTATTGCGAATTGTTTTATATGCCAACATAGAATAACAGATCATCTTGGTTCAGGACAGTTTGGTAGTGTTAGTAAAGGTGTATGGGAGTCTCCTACTGGTCCAGTAGATGTTGCTATTAAAACATTAAAGAATAGTTCAGTGGAGCAAGATAAGGTCAAGTTTCTTCAAGAGGCAGCCATTATGGGTCAGTTTCATCATCCTAACATTGTCAAGTTACATGGAATGGTCACTGTTGGAGAGCCAGTGAGTTAATTTATATAATTAACAATTATTTTATTATATTGAGAACAGTTGATGATAGTACTGGAGTTAATACCTCATGGAGACATGAGACAATATCTTCACACTCTACAACCACAGTATGTACTATCAGTAGATTATGTTATCAATATTGTGTATTATAGACGAGGAGAACTGGTAGCATCAACAGTACCAGGTCTACTGCTCAGTTTCTGTCGTCAGATTGCTTCAGGTATGGAGTACTTGTCTAAGAAAGGGTTTGTACACAGAGACCTGGCTGCTAGGAATATACTAATAGCAAAGCAAGGATTATGCAAGGTATAAGTAACCTTCTACATTGTTGTTCAAGTTAGTTTTATACTGGAAATTGTAGATTGCTGACTTTGGAATGTCCAGAGATCTTGAAGATGAAAATTACTATGTTGCTCATGCAAGCCGGATCCCTGTAAAATGGACAGCTCCAGAGGTATGAAACAGTTTTTGTATTGTTTTTTGTAACAATAAGTCACACATTCACATTATGTATAGGCATTGAACTACAGACGTTATTCCAGTGCTAGTGATGTATGGAGTTATGGTGTAGTAATGTATGAGATATGGAGTCTGGGACATAAACCGTATGATAAAATTACCAATCAACAAGTAAAAATGCAAACTTTATACTGAGTACGATTCATAAATAATTTCTATAGTGTATAAGCCTGATTAATTCAGGATTTCGTCTTCCTCCTCCTCCTGGTTGTCTCAGGTCTATATATGAGATGATGATACAATGCTGGTATGTATCATTAATTACTGTATTATTAATATTTGTTTGTTTATAGGCACCCAGATACTGGTGGTCGTCCTACATTTGCAGATCTGGTATCAAGATTGCTTCTCTCTGATGTTGAGTTGTTAAATGAAGTTTCAAAGGAAGAGGAGAGCACAATTGTGGGTGGTCCACTAGAAACTGCTTTTGACCTATATGATAACTTGCAAAAAATGTACACAAAATGATGTATTGTGTGGTGCTTGTTTAAATTTTTTTACTTTGTCTTATTTATTATTCATTGATAATAATTATAATTAGCTCTGTCTAAGACATGCCCATTTTTAAATTTAATAAATTAATTATTTTGCTCCAAGAGTAACAACATGAGACTTTCTCTTTCTTTCTTCTTGTTAATGTTCATTTTTATTTCACAATCAAATGGTAAGTAGATTTTTATTTATGTTTGCTCAATTGCTCGTAATCCTACTGTCTTTCTAGTTATTTGGGGGCAGGAGTGTACCAAGAGATTTCTGGAGTTCCCTGTAGTGCAACTCTTAGGACAAGAGATTGGGAATAATCCACCAAAAGGAGGGAAAATGGATGATAAACTAAAAGTCCTTCAAGAGTATCAGTTCAATTATTCATCCACTAATATAACCAGTCTTATATTGGGTATTGATATTAGGGAAGCTACTGGTGATCGTAGTCTCTTTCCCAGTGTCCAGCTCTTTAGACGTAATGGTAACAACAATAATCAGTATCCTCTAGTGGCTGATAGTAAAAGAACAATTTATTATTCTACCTCCAATTTTAGTACTAGTGGAGTGTTTGAATATCCACTCAATCCTCCTATACCAGTAATGAGTGGAGACCTGTTAGCTGTATCACAACCACCTCATGAAGAGAGTATTATTAGAGTCTACTATATCAGTGGCATAACAGCAAATAGTCAAGAGTTTGACTATGACGATACACATGTTAACTTAAATAAAAGTCCAATTACAAATGAGTTGATATTAGTATATCCAGTAACAGGTAAGACACACACACTCACTGTATCATTGAATTATTTTACTATCATTAGATGGATACTGTGTTAATAGTGCCAATTCAATCAATGCTTCAATTATTAGAGAAAATGCTCTAAAATTACTTAAATCCAAACGGTCCAAAAATGACAGACAATACTTGTATCCAGATATAGTGTTCTCTTGTAATGGTTCACTTACTAAATGGATCTATGGAGGTATTAATCGTGGTAACAATCCTCCTAATAGACTACCTGAGCTCCAAATATGGCGTCAACTGGGTCCCAATAATTACAATAAAATAGGATCTAGTTTAGTTAATGCTAATACAATGATTGGTACTAATCTCTATGAGTTTATTCCTCAGACTCCACTGCAGTTTCAGGAAGGAGACATATTTGGTGCTTATTATCCTCATGAAAAAGAGAGTTCAATTAATCTTTATGAACAGGAAAGATTTGGGCCTCAAAATCTACGCATTGACTCAAATTACCCTCTAACTACCATAACTCAAGCATTGATGCCTGATAATTATAACTTCCCTTTAGTTACAGTGATTATATCAAGTAAGTGACTCAAGTCGTTTATTTTTGACTATAATACACAATAGAAGCAACACAATCAAGTGTCCTCACTGCAATAACTACTAACATTCTTACAAGTAATTATTAGTATGATATGCTTATAACGTTTTACTTAATGTTCAAGATTATGTCACATCCAGTAGCAGTGGTATAATACAATCAACCTCAACAAGACTATCAAGCAGGAGTCATGTAGGATCAAGCACATCCTCTAATGGTGAGGTTATACTTGTTTTGTAAATTGAACTTTTTTCTTTTTAGTGTTATTTGTTTCTTTCACAAGGTCAAGTTTACTGACAGGTATAAATATTTGAAGCCTTTTTCTAGTGTTGATTGGTGTTTTAGGTTTTACAACTTTGAGTCATTCCATTCCTTCCAAAACAAATTTCCACTTTAGTAAGCCAATAAGAAAGATCCTTTTTTGCATTCTATTACACTTCTGTCTTTAGCATCATCATCATCTATAAATCACTCCATCAGTAGTAAGACCTATTTATTGTTAATCTGTACTGATATTTTTTTTAAAAGTTATTAATCCATCTTCAAGCAATACAACATCACCTTCTTCCACATCTATTGCATTACTTGCTGTCATTGTCACTGTAGTCCTTATCCTCTTTATACTGGTGGTTGTCAGCATATTCATTATAATCATGTTGAAGAGAAAAAACAAGGTAACACAGCTGAGCAGCAACGAGGGAATAAAAGATGAGAACAACTCATTTCCTCCTATTGATAATCCTGTCTATCAGGGTAAGCTGAGAGCATAATTGATCTGTATATAATCACTGTGTATGTTAGATACTGATAAAAGAAAGGAAGTAAGTTCATTCCACTATGAAACAGATTGTAGTTTCTATGCAGAGGCAGTTATACCAGAACCAAACTATGAAGAGCCAAAATTCGTGAGCCATGTACATGTAAGCACTGTTATGTACACAAACTATACATTATAGCTAAAACCAGCACACCAACCTAATTATGAGTGGGGATCAATAGTACCAAATATGGTAAGTTTTGTCAATAAAGTTGAGGCATTATTAGATATTGTCTTGGCAGTCACAGAGAGACAACACAAACACAAGTCGCAGGATTTATGCTGAATTGGAGCCATCCCAATACTACAATGTATGCATTTTTGTTTTCAGTAGTTGAGATCTTAATTCAATTTCATTATAGGTGGGCCATGAATATGACTCCACAGTCATGGCTAATAATTCCTTTTTTGTTGAGAGTGTATCTTTTTGGTTGCCTGGCTCTGACTGCTCCAGCATATATGAACAATTGTCAAGGAACAAGTTCAGAGAGCTAACACCTGGACAGATAAAGTAAAATATTTACATTATAAGATTAAATTAATGCATTCTTCATTTCATTTAAATTAATTTAAATGTAAACTTTTAGGGTTGGGGATCGTCTTGGTTCAGGACAGTTTGGTAGTGTTAGTAAAGGTGTATGGGAGTCTCCTACTGGCCCAGTAGATGTTGCCATTAAAACACTCAATAATAACACATCAGAGGATGAGAAGGTCAAGTTTCTTCAAGAGGCAGCCATTATGGGTCAGTTTCATCATCCTAACATTGTCAAGTTACATGGAATGGTCACTGTTGGAGAGCCAGTGAGTTAATTAATATAATTAATAATTATTTTATTATATTGAGAACAGATGATGATAGTACTGGAGTTAATACCTCATGGAGACATGAGACAATACCTTCACACTCTCCAACCACAGTATGTACTATGAGTAGATTATGTTATTAATATTGTGTATTATAGACCAGGAGAACTGGTAGCATCAACAGTACCAGGTCTACTGCTCAGTTTCTGTCGTCAGATTGCTTCAGGTATGGAGTACTTGTCTAAGAAAGGGTTTGTACACAGAGACCTGGCTGCTAGGAATATACTAATAGCTGACAAAGAAGTCTGCAAGGTTATAATCATTTTTAAAAACGAGCCAATTTTTGAAAAATACCCAAGGCTATAGCCCATGGTTTTTTTCAAAAAATCGCTCCAAAATCACCCGAAATTTTTATTACATTTTCTAATACATATTGATGCCCTTGTGCTATGTAGAAAGTTTGAGCTGTTTCCGACAAATATTTTTCGAGTTATGAGCATTTTTTAAAAACAAGCCAATTTTTGAAAAATACCCAAGGCTATAGCCCATGGTTTTTTTCAAAAAATGGCTCCAAAATCACCCAAAATTTTTATTACATTTTCTGATACATATTGATGCCCTTATGCTATGTAGAAAGTTTGAGCTGTTTCCGACAAATATTTTTCGAGTTATGAGCATTTTTTAAAAACAAGCCAATTTTTGAAAAATACCCAAGGCTATATAGCCCATGGTTTTTTTCAAAAAATGGCTCCAAAATCACCCGAAATTTTTATTACATTTTCTGATACATATTGATGCCCTTATGCTATGTAGAACGTTTGAGCTGTTTCTGATAAATATTTTTCGAGTTATGAGCAATTTTAAAAACAAGCCAATTTTTGAAAAATACCCAAGGCTATAGCCCATGGTTTTTTTCAAAAAATGGCTCCAAAATCACCTCAAATTTTTATTACATTTTCTGATACATATTGATGCCCTTGTGCTATGTAGAAAGTTTGAGCTGTTTCCGATAAATATTTTTTGAGTTATGAACATTTCTAAAAGCAACCCAATTTTAAAACAAGTAAGTAATAGTATCATATAGTGTGTAATTTTAGAGGAGACAAATTTTGGCCATAGAGCATGTGCATAATGGTACAAAATGGCAAGTTTTAATTCAGCAAATGACTATCAAAACATCAAAATTTATGCCTTCCAAAATTACCTGCTATATGGTAGTTATTATTACTTTATTAAAGTAATAACACTACTTCATATGGACATGTACTTTCTAATATAATCAAGCCCATGTTTTTTAATGATACCCTGTATGTAGATATCTGATTTCGGAATGTCAAGAGATTTACAAAATGAAGACTATTATCTTTCAAGTGGAGGCCAAATACCAATCAAATGGACAGCTCCTGAAGTAAAGATGACCTAATGATATTCATTGTCATTGTAAAGTTTATAGGCCCTCCATTACAAGAAGTATTCCTCAGCTAGTGATGTATGGAGTTATGGTGTACTGCTGTATGAGATATGGAGTCTGGGACATAAACCGTTCCATGATATCACAAACCAAGAAGTATACCAATGCTAATACACTTCACTGCTAATCTTATGTGCAATAGGCAATTAGAAAGATTGAGTCTGGGGTTCGTCTCTCTCCTCCTTCTGGCTGTCCAAGAGAAGTCTATAAGATAATGATGCAATGCTGGTGAGCTAATTTTAATTATTGTATTTATGTCCAATTATTTGTGTAATACTCTCTGTATTTCATAGGCATCCTGAAAGAGATCATAGGCCAACATTTGCCATCCTTGTCACTTCCTTCTGTCAATCTGATTCGTCACTCATTAGTTTGTCTCCTATTGATACCCAGTGTCACCCTCAAGCTGGTATCCTGGGTGCTCCACTGGAGGCTGGACAGGACATGTTCACTGACCTCCAGTCAATGTACTTGTGATTGTTTCTGTGTTCATATTGTACAGCCAACATGTTTTTAACTCTTTTTTATTTGTATCTAGTATCATGAGTCTATTTTGTTCCTTTTTAAAAAGCCAGCCAACAAGTTTTGACATTATTACTTTCATTCCTGTACATGTGTATTGTAGCACTGTTAAAGTGTCTGCTGTGCAGTCAGTTAGTGACAGCTGTGCATGTACTATCAGCTTAAACAAGTGTCTCAACTTGTCAGTTGATTTTGTTGCATTCCTTTGCTTTTGCACAATAAATGAAATCACGACATTCAATAAATTCTACAACATTATCGCTTAATTATAATATTCACAAAGTCACTGCATAGCTTAGACTGTGATATCTGTGAGTAAAATAAACAGGAGAGTAATGATAGTATAGATATCACAGTTAGTACTAATAAAACGTCATTGCTCCATTTGAGGTCACTTTGCTTTCCTGATGGGAATTAGCTACAGCCCACAAAGCCACTCCTCCGTAGCCCAGAAGCCATAATAGCTGCTCTTCTCTACACGTTTTATTCCAGTGTTGCTGTTGCTGTTTGCTGTTTCTGACTATTCTTGGAGGATTTGAAAT